CCTTTACGAATCGAGTCCCTTTCGAAAAATGATGATAGTCCCTCTAGTTTGCTTATTACACCCCACAATGGCCTTCAAAAATCCAATTGTCCCTCACATGTCCCTTAACATCCAAAGTAAGGACTACCTACTCCATTATAGTAGGGATAGTCTTACTAAAGGAAAGAATGAAGAATAAGAAAAACCTTTAAACATTAGGGTAGGTTACTCCTAGGTGCTTGCTCACTTCAAAATTGTTTCGCACTTAAACAAATTTTCAACAAGTTTTCAAACAAGTTCTTAACACATCCTTACATGGATTATTTATTAACTATTCTGAAAATTTTCTATTCACACACTACAATTTCAAAACAATTCAAAAGTGAGCTTAAGTACCTAAGAGCCCATGGATAACCATGGATGAAAAGGGTGCTAACACCTTCCCTTTTCATAACCTACCCCCCGGACCCAAAATATTCTCTAAGGTCTTTCCTGTTCTTTTATAACCTTTCCTTATGGATAAAATAAAAGTCGGTGGCGACTCTTGCTATCCGCAACATTGTTCAAAGACAGTTCTCCCACCGTGTTACAGTGATACACAGAGATGCATCTCAATAAAAGGAGACATTTGTGAAAATTCAACTCATTAAAAATATAAAAATATAAGATGTTTTAAGAAATAGTCATACCACCCGTTGAATGAGTTACATATTTGTTCAAATGTGTGAAAAAAAGAGAAATGTGTGTACTTGCTCTACCATGGATATCCAAATTATTCATTGAAATATGTTTTTCCTTTTGTTATAGATTAGATTAAATGAGAAAGCGGTCTCAGTCTTTTTTTTAAGTAACTTATTTGACATTGTAATTAGTTAAAGTGACACTAAAAAAACTAAAACAACTAAATCGATTATGAAATATCTTAACTTTGTTGTGCATATGATTGATTGTAATATAATTGTAGGATAAGCTATCGAAATTAATTTTTAATCTAATCATCATTTAAATAAATTTACACCCAAATTTCTTTAGACTTAACTAGCGTTCAGACGGGCACGTTTTTTTTAATGCGCACAGCATAGGAAAATAAACGTGTGTATATTATGTGCGAAGTTACTTGCATATTATACTTGCATATTTTTTTAATGCGCACAATATAGAAAAATAAGAGGACAAATGGGCACAAGAGAGATATCATCACAAATATGAGGATTAAGAACTGAGATCTTTATCTTGAGAATTAAGAATTATTAGAGTCTAGGCAAGTTTATATATATTCCATCATAAAATGAATTAATTGGACATCTCACCATAGGTAAGTTATCACCAAAAGGTTAATTGAAAGACTATTGTATTGTCTATGCATCTTGTTCGGTCGTTCACGGTCCAGTCAAAACATGATAATCACCTTATAAACAAAAAAAAAACATACAATTTACACTTTCAAAACACAATTCAGTCACATGTTGAGTATTGTGACTTTAACCGCCTTCTAAGAGTGTCTTTGTATAAGTGAGCTCACTCAGGCCAGACCAAAGAAATGCTTTCACATGTGACTTATGAAATGCTTTTCAGAATTGATCCGGGCACAGAAAACTTCCAATTGCGGACATCAACAAAGAAATACATTCAAATAATCACATGTTTTGAATGAATCTCCTTGTGCTGTGCTTACTCAAAGGGAACCATCTTAACCCACAGATTTCAATTTTTGGTCTGGCCTGGGTGGATTAGAAATACATCTTTAAAATTAATATTTGAATGTATTTCTTTCTTTGATTGTGTGTGGAGCATTTGTTGTCTTTGATCTCTCAGGTTTTATTGCATCTTTTTATTGGTTAACTATGTTAATTTATGTGCGTTAATACGAAAGGTAATACCTGAGGAGGAACATCTCTCAGGTATTACCTTGTGGCACATAGTCTTGATAGCGTCCAAATGGGCACGACACACGCGTCAAAATACGAACGAACATTTTTTATTTAATTTTGATTTTAATTTAAATTATTTGTATAGTAAACTTTGTAATATGCATTCCTCTCTCCCCCTTTCCCTCTCTCTCTTATAAATTTGATGAAAGTGTTTAGAGAGGAGTTTGTAGAGTAAATTGAACAACACGTACATCCCCTGCGAACATGTATGCTCACACGACTCTTCTCGTGCTTGTCTTTTTTTTAATGAGCATACACGTCAAAATATAAATGAATATTTTTTTTATTTAAGTATGATTTAAATTTAAATTATTTGAATACCAAATTTTCTGATATGCATCCTTATGTTTGTAAAAAATTTTAAAACGTCATTTATTTAATTAATTAAAAGTTAAATTGTTTTTCAAATTAAATTTGTAAGTAATATGACATTTGTTGCACATCTCTCTTTAACATCAAAAATAAAAATCGTAAATAAAAAATTAACAACAAAATTCAACTAATTTAAGAAAGTGAATGGTCAGTGTTTCAAATTTTCAATAATTCACAATAAATTTTTTTGTTAATATTTTTATTTTATTTTTTCATACTTGAAGTTTTGTTCAATAGCAAGGTCAAACATATAGACATAAAAGATAAAATAATGGAAGTTATATATTTTTGCAACTGTCATTGTATATTTGAACAGTATATTAAGTATTAATAAATGTGACAATATTTTTAAAACTGTTTTTATCAAGATACATAATTTTTTGAGGAAATGGTTTTTATTTCTATAGTACATATGAAAGTTAACAATGTAAGAAATATTAAAATTGTGTGTACCAATTAAGTTTGTGAAAGATTTTCAAAAAGATTTTATTTTATACCGTTATATTACAACCTTCCGTTAAAGTCATCCATAATATTTCAAAAAGAAAAGAGAAGAGAAATGAGATGAGATGATGGATCTAAAAAATGAAATGTAGATCTAAAAATGAGATGATGATAATTTGTTGAATTTTTTATTCATTTATATTTTTATGTGTGTGCTCATTAAAAATTTCAACAAAAAAATGTTAATATGAGAATTTGATATGTAACACTCTTGTATCCTCTTCTTATCTCTCCTTTTATTCTATATATCAAATAATGCTAACCAAATTAATGATTTTTTAATATGAAAAAAACACAAACCATCTCCAAATCATAATTAAATTACCACACAAATAGATAGTTACAATAGCAAATACCAAATCAAATGTAAGATAGAAATAAAAATTTAAAACAAAAGAACTAACACCATTTAAAACCACGTCATTTCAAGAAATAATACTGATGAAATAATTGTTTGTATTATGAAAATCTAAATTACATATTTTATGATGTGTTTATACTCACAAAATACAAATAAGTATCATTAAGAAATAAAACATAATAACAACAAAAGCAAAAAGTTAAAACTATAATATTAATGAATAATATTTTGCAACAAAAGTAAGATATAATTTTTGTAAGAAAATAATAGTGCAGTAGAAAATCACTCAGACCCATTGTGGTTGCATTAAATACTTGAATTTTATTGTATTTTAGAGTATGGAATTTTTTCAAGTATCACATGATCTTTTTTTACTCCATAGTTAATAACTCTGCTTTGAAAAAAAGGAAAGTTTCGTAAATGGTAAAATTCTAAAAAAGACTCAATTACAAAAGTCATACAAAAACTATTACTATAAAAGCAATTACAAAAAAAATCTACATACAACAATCAATTTTCAGTCATAATGAGAACGACTTCTTCTATCGGGGGTGATGGCGCGATCTTGACTGAAAATAAGTTTCATCTATTTTTCAAAAATAAAAAGATCACTGATTAAAATTGAATAAATGAAAATATTATAGAATGAAAGAAATTATAAAAAAAAAGTATATTCATTGAGAAAGAGATGAAATTTACATAAAAAAATAGAAGAGAATTTTTAACTTCTGTCACCACTTAGTAGTTAATGAAAGTTATAGGTGTGAGATATTCTTTGTGAGAGATGGAAGTTACTTTTTCAATTGGTAACCAACAAAAGTTATTAACCACTCAAGATTTTAAATTAATTTCTTGTTGATAAAAAAGATGAAGGGTAATTTTGGAACAAAAATAAGCCACACAAAAAACTTGTATCCCCTTTATATATAGTTATAGATTCAATTAAATTTACTTATAGAGAAAATCGTCCGTGCAATGTTTTTTAGACATATTACACATTTAAAGTGAACCCAACTCTTTTATTTTATAATGTGTTTCTATTTAAAGTAGTAGAGTTTAAATAATCTAATTTTTATTACTAGATGCAATAATTTAGCATTAATAAAAATGAAAATAATATTTTTAATTTATTTTTTAAATTATAATTATAAAATGAATTTTGTAAAAAAAATTTATACGGTCAGATAATCATAGACATTAAATATTTAAAAGAGTCACGTATAAAATAAAACAAACATATAATAGTGATAAATTTATGGTGTAAAACTTTTTACAATCCACAGTATATAATAATTATTCTCCATAATTATTAATTGTATATTTTAAAAAACTGTGTAGGTCTATCCACGGGAAAACATCTAGCTTATTAAAATATTTTATCTAATCTGAATTTGTAATTGCTTGATTGGATAAGCTGTTACTCAAAATTGTAAATATCAATTGAAGTAAATTGATAAATAAACATTTGGGGTTTTGGGGTTCTCTAAAACAAAACTTCTCTAGATCTCTCCCTCATCATTTTTCTATTTTCATTTCTCTTAACTATTTTCTCTCCCTATAACACAAAATGAGATTAGCAAACAAGACAACTACAAATAATAATAATAATTTAAGAGGGTGATGTTACTCCCACTTTAGCATCTGTCAAAAATGTTATATGCCTTCTTCACATTCAAAGGTACAAAAGGAAAGTCCTTACAAAGTTTGACAATGGACATTGGATACACACACCTACAGACAAATATAAACATAAATAAATGAAATACATTCAAGTAGCAGCTAAAACAAGAAGCTCCATGTTGGGTTAAATAGATAAGAATGATCAACATTTGTCATATCCAGCATCTTTGACTTTATCTCTGCAACTGTATTCTCTTATCCCTAAGTGGCAAATCAACCGGCTGCTGCGCCTCATGTGGATGATTTGGGCCGCTATAAACTTTCAGGCGTGTGAATAGTGTCCTGCCAAGCTGCATAAACAAAACTATTGATTAATGTAGATTCAATTCAGCTATGTATAAAAACTTATTTTTTTGTTTGATCAAATATTATTAGCATAAGGAAGCCTCCTTAGAGTATACTAGTACGTTGTTGAACTTACCCTCCCTTTTGGAAGCATGCCACGAACAGCATGTTCAATAATTCTTTCAGGAATTCTGTTCTGCAGCTGATCAAATGTCTCGACTGTCATACCACCAGGTCGACCTGAGTGCCTCCGATAAAGCTTTTGTGTCCTCTTCTTCCCGCTCACAGCAACCTTTTCGGCATTTATCTACATGATCCAAATTGCAATTTTAAGTTCTATTAACTAAACAGTATTTAGGATAGACATCATTAGTTAAATAGATTGAGATTAAGTTATATTTGCTTATATTTATGACTGAAAAATGAATACTTTTTTCCTCCAGATTAAGAGCTGTTTCACTAAGACTTTCAAAACATGTAATTAATCAATGCATTAACGACAATTCACTAAGTTGAGTATCTACATACAAAAATGTGAAATGTGATTCAAATTTCTGTCAGATGTGACATTATTATAGAAAAAAAAGCTAAGAATGTGCTTGTAAAACACACATTAAGAATGTTTAGGATAGGAAGAGGAAGAGTTGTAAAAAGATATTAGAATCAAGGTTGTCAAGATCAAGATCTTGCATAAGATTGGGAGAGGGTAGCAAGATCATAAAACATAAGATTGTAACTAAGATAGGAAGATCCTACCCAGTCATTTTTGTAAGATCGAGAAGGGGGTGGAATCACAAGGAATCTTCAATAACAGGAATTGTCCAAACAGAAATTAAATTAAATGTAATATAGGGGGCAGGTATAAACATGGATGTAACAAGGGTTTTGAGCATAATGAGACGCATCACATCCCCTTGAATTTGCAAATGGGGTTTGTCACTCTATTTTTTCCAAATAAAATATCAATTTCTATCATACGGATAATGGCAATTTGAGGGAATGTCACACCCATGGAGCCTCTATGCCATTTCATGGTGATCTAACACAAAAAGTAAATACTAAAATGCAAAAAGTAGCCTTCAATTATAAGTAAATTTCAAAAACTTACTTTGATTTTTAACTCAACTTGACTCATTCAACTTACAAAATACTCCATCTTGCATAGAGGATTGCCCTCACTTATAAACATAGGTTAAGAAATAGAGTTTGGGCCTAACTCATCCATAAAAAACACTTATAAACAGATGTATATATTGGCCAACGTGGAACTTAACAGACTTATACATCACATGAAATTACTTAGTAGAAGTAGTAAACTATAAAAACATCACATACATAGGCAATAGCAAATAGACAGATAAACAATTTATGCAGAAATACATACCACAATTACAAATGCACCCATGTCCACACTAGGTGTATAAGTCACTAGATTTTTGCCTCTGATATGATTGGCAATTGTGGATGCTAGTCTTCCAAGAATTTTATCTTCAGCATCAACAATATACCATGTTTTTGCAGTGTTGACATGATCCGAAGCTTTTGGATACCACGTCTCGTTCCAAATGTCCTGCAATTAGTGTGTTCTATTTGTGATTTCAAACTCGTTAAAACAACAACAAAGCCTTGGTCCGACACATGAATAACTTCCGCCATAATATTCTATCCTTCTAGGCAAATAGTTAAACTCCAGATATACAAGACATACATTAGTAAAAAAATATACAAGACATACATTAGTAAACAATGTATATTTAGATGCAAATAGAGTTTTTCTAAATCAAAATAACCACATATTCAGAGTCAATTTACAATTTACAGAAATTTAAATTTCAAGAGGAAAAAAAAGTAAGAATGAGGGAGAGAAAAGGGGTTATATACCGGGCCTTGAAATCGGGGCTCAGGTTCAACACAGATGAATCGTGGATCTTGTTCTACCACGGAAGTATCTTGTTGAGAACGAACAACGAAAGATGGAGAGAAATTTGTACCACGAAGTGAAGAAGAAGAATAAGAAGATGATGATAATGAAAGGGTTGGAAGAGGCAACTGGGAACCCACAAAGGAAGATTTAGCGGTTGCGTTTCTGTGAGAAGTAAATGAAGATGAAGGGAAGGAGACCGATGGTGAACCACAGAGTAGGACCATTTTAGCTCTCTCGCGCTGCGTTCTGCGCTATGTCTATCTTATTATCCTTTTGTTGGGAGAGAGATAATGTAGAAGATGGAGAGTGGGATAAGAGAATATTTGTTACGATATTACAGTACGATTCCACTAGTGTTAGTTATTTTTACCTTTTTTTTCTTCTTTTACTAATAAATTTTTTGTTTTTATTTAATTTTTAAAACAATAAATCATGGAATACATTATTTAATCTATAATATATATATATATATATATATATATATATATATATATATATATATATATATATATATATATATATATATATATATATATATATATATATATATATATATATATATATATATATATATATAAAGGCAATAAACATTTTTGGTATAGTTTTTTTATTTTCAATTTTGTCTCTAATAAATTGATTTTATTATATTCTTTTATTATTTAGTTATTATTTTTCATCTTTCATAACTTCTATGCGGTGTCTAAACCAATTCATCTTCATTTTATATTCTTCCCATTAGATATATTGAGAAAGAGAAAAAGTGTTGGAGAAGCAAATTAAAGATATGGAAGAAAGAAAACAAAGATGAAAATGATAAATTCATATTTTTGGTGTTGTTTCTTTGAGTATCAACAACATAATGTCGTTTTTTTTATTCAGTATCATTCCTTTTGTTTTAAGTATTCTACCATTTCCTTTCTTTATCACATACTACCTGCATTTTTATCTTCAATATTTTTATTTTTTTAATTTTTCTTCTTCAAAATTTAAAGATTCTTAAATATTTGAGAATACCTAATAACTTTAATTTTCTTACCCATACTTTCTACATCACTATTTTTATATATTTAATAATGATTCTTAAATTTCTTTTTAGTTTTTAATGGATAAATCAAGCAAGATAGAAGAATGTGCAAGACAATGGAAAGAACACATCGGCATAATCTTTCAAAATGTAACAGATATAAATCATTCGGTTATAATTATTTCTATAGGTTTGATTAGTTAATAAAAGTTATTCGTTTTAATTATATTACTTTGTAGTTTTTTGTATTTTTGAACCAACTCTATGTAAAATTATTATTAAAGTTGTTAATTATTATATAAATTCTATTTATTATATCATAATTCTAATAAATTTATTAATATATGCGAACACTCCACCGAAGTAGATACGTAATACTGAAAAATGTCTTATGTATTTGGTTTTGCAACGTTGATTGATTATCTCTCTTCTTTTCTCTCTTAAATTCTTCGTTTAAAACTAAAGAAAAAACTCATCTCTCTCATTTTTATTTTTATTTTTTTTAATATTTATGTTATGTTTTTAAAGAAAATTGAAGAAACTATTAATTTTAAAAGAGGCAGAATGCTACATATATGCGGCAAAACTTGAAGGGATTTCAAATGATCTTTTTTACACAAATATGTATTTTCCATGCAACTATTGAAATGAGTGTACAGAAGATACTTCTATGGAATTGTACATATATTTTAATTTATTCATATTTCTTAAATTTTGTTTATTATATATTTTTCTCTTTATACGTTGTCTATTTTACTTAGTTTTTGAAGAATAATTTATATGTTTTTTTTGTCTAACAAGAACATGAAACTTTTAATCTCTCAAAATTTTGTTTATTTCACTTTATGTGAGATTAATTTATTTGTGGGTTTTATTTGTATTTATCTCCCTAACTTTTATTTATGATTTCTTTTTATTCTCATAAAAAAAATTCTTTTTATAATATTTATTATGGTTTCTCTAAACTCTACTTAATATATTCTTTAACTATTATTTATTTTATAACTATTATCTATTCTATAACTATAGATAAAGATAAAGAAGATAGATGATTTTGGACAGACCTATTTCATTCCCATTTTATCCTTTAAGTTGTACGCAATTTATTTAATTTTTAAAAATAAAGTGTTAACAAAATAATACGGTTTTTTTTATAAGATGAGCATAACTATCAAAGTTGGTTTTTTTAATGAAAAAAAAAACCAATTTTGATAGTTATGCATCTCTTACAAAAATGATGGAAGTGCAAAACACACTTATAAATGAATAGAAAATGGAAATTCATTCATTCAGTGACAACATTAAAAAAATACATCATCATACTCCACTATTTATGGTTTGTGAAAGATAAATAGAGAAAAAAAGTTATTCATCTTCATCTCTTATTTGATCACCAGTCTCTAATTCCTTCTCTAATTTTTTATCATACTTCATTGTTAATTGATATGAAGTTTTTTTTCATTTACAATGTTATGATTATTTCTTTAAGAGATAATTTGCCTTTATTTTAGAATCTATTTTGTTGATTTTGCATTTGGTTGTTGCAACTAAATATCAAATTATATTGATTTGGTTACAGAATATTATTAAAAACAATGAAACATTATTTTTAAGTGTCTTTCTTTTTAAACTCATTGGTTTTAAAGATAAGAAATATATGAATTATTTATTTATGAATTAGTTCATCTGTATTTAATACAATACTAATAATATAATAGAAAACGAACAATAAATATTAAAGATTACACACACCTCCAAGATAATGCAGGAAAATGAGAATCAAATGTTAAAACATTTCTTAAAGTATTGCTTCAATAAATGAAAGAGTTTTGTTGCAATAATCTTTGGAAGTATTTCATTGACCATATACTTAATAAAATATTAAATTAATAAACATATATATATATATATATATATATATATATATATATATATATATATATATATATATATATATATATATATATATATATATATATATATATATATATATATATATATATATATATATATATATATATATATATATATATATATATATATATATATATATATATATATGATAAATAATTTAAATTAAAACCAAAATCAAATAAAAAATATATTAATGAATTACTTCATTTGTTTTGCAGTGAAACGAGAGATATTTCTGATTTTGATTTCATGGTTGACCTTCCTATTAAGCAATAATGTAACTTAATATCCGTATTAATGTTTATGTTTAGTTGCTTAATAAATTGTGAGAAAGATTTTTGTTCTTCTTCTATCTAAATCTTCTTATGGTTTTGACTAATCTATAGCAATATATAAATACAAAACTTAATATTTCATCATATAAATAATTTATATTAAAAATAAAATAAATAGTTTATAGTAAAATTAAATTTATAAAAAAATACACTGTTAATATTTTTGCACATTAGCGCAATAAAAAAAAACGGACAAACGGACACGGACGTACCCGTTTGGACGCTAATAATAATAATAATAATAATAATAATAATAATAATAATAATAATAATAATAATAATAATAATAATAATAATAATAATAATAATAATAATAATAATAATAATAATAATAATAATAGCTTTAAATTATTTTTCAAGATGCATTACAACATGGAGATTTAAAAATTGATGATATATTTAATTTTTAAAACTAACTAATTATTAAGAAGGAGTTGACACAGTGGCAAAGAAGTGTGTTTGGTAACTAAGTAGACCAAGGTTTGAGTCTTGGTGTGATCAAAATTTTGATAATCTATAACTATATATAAAGGGGATACAAGTTGCAAAAATATATAACCTCCATTATTTTATCTTTTATGTCTATATGTGTGACCTTGCTATTGAACAAAACTTTAAGTATGAAAAAATAAAATAAAAATATTAACAAAAAAATTTATTATGAATTATTGAAAATTTGAAACACTGACCATTCACTTTCTTAAATTAGTTGAATTTTCAAATATACAATGACAGTTGCAAAAATATATAACCTCAATTATTTTATCTTTTATGTCTATATGTGTGACTTTGCTATTGAACAAAATTTTAAGTATGAAAAAATAAAATAAAAAATTAAAATCAAAATTAAATAATTAAAATTAAAATCAAAATTAAATAAAAAATATTCGTTCGTATTTTGACGCGTGTGTCGTGCCCGTTTGGACGCAATCAAGACTATGTGCCACAAGGTAATACCTGAGAGATGTTCCTCCTACGGTATTACCTTTCGTATTAACGCGCATAAATTAACATAGTTAACCAATAAAAAGATGCAATAAAACTTGAGAGATCAAAGACAACAAATGCTCCACACACGATCAATGAAAGAAATACACTCAAATATTAATTTTAAAGATGTATTTCTAATCCACCCAGGCCAGACCAAAAATTGAAATCTGCGAGTTAAGATGGTTCCCATTGAGTAAGCACAGCACAAAAAGCATTTCATAAGTCACATGTGAAAGCATTTCTTTGATCTGGCCTAAGTGAGCTCACTTATACAGAGACACTCTTAGAAGGCGGTTAAAGTCACAATGCTCAACATGTGACTAAATCGTGTTTTGAAAGTGTAAATTGTAGGTTTTTTTTTGTTTATAAGCTGATTATCATGTTTTGACTGGACCGTGTAGGCTTCTATAAGCCATTTATCTTGGCTTGATTTCACCGCCTTTTTTATTGTACCTGCGCTTTTTTTTAACGTAAGTGTGTAATGAACTATCGAACAAGATGCATAGACAATACAATAGTCTTTCAATTAACCTTTTGGTGACAACTTACATATGGTGAGATGTCCAATCAATTCAGTTTATGATAGAATATATATAAACTCGCCTAGACTCAGATAGTTCTTAATTCTCAAGATAAAGATCTCAGTTCTTAATCCTCATATTTGTGATGATATCTCTCTTGTGCTCGTCTGTCCGCTTATTTTTCTATGATGTGCGTATTAAGAAAATATGCAAGTAACTTCGCACATAATATACACACGTTTATTTTCCTATGTTGTGCGCATTAAAAAAAACGGACAGACGGGCACGGGAGTGCCCGTCTGAACGCTAGTAATAATAATAATAATAATAATAATAATAATAATAATAATAATAATAATAATCTATAACTATATATAAAGGGGATACAAGTTTTTGGTGTGACTTATTTTTGTTCCAAAATTACCCTTCATCTTTTTATC